TTTCTAACACCGACTGGAGTCCACATGGCGAAAGAGAAAGAGGACCGTTCAAGGAATATCTGGAGACGCAAACTTCGAGAAGACACCAAGAAGATTGGATACACCTGGGGACAGTTGGAGATTAGCACAGGACAGAGATGCCTGGAAAGCTCTGGTCAGCGGCCCAAGATGGGGCGACGGGCTAACCCTAACACCCCCTGTCTACACCACTGTCAAAAGGGATATTTTATTAGTTGACTTATAACACAAACAAATCATTCTATTATATAACTCATTTTTAAAAAAGTTTTAATCAGTGCATGACTAAACTATCACACCACACAGGGCGTAGCGAGGGGGGGGGGGCGGGGGGTTGCGGACCGCACCGGGTGACACCATTTAGGGGGGTGACACCAAGGCAAAAAATAGCAAAATATATAGAGAAAAACTCGAGGGGGGGGGTGCAAATCGAAAGTTTGAGGGGGGGGTGCAAATCGAAAACTCGAGGGGGGGGGGGTGCAAATCGAAAGTTTGAGGGGGGGTGCAAATCGAAAACTCGAGGGGGGGTGCAAATCGAAAGTTTGAGGGGGGGGGGGTGCAAATCGAAAACTTGAAACTTTGTCCCTGGGAAGGGTCTCTATGCCTCTGGGGGGGTGACACCATTAAGTGCCGCACCGGGTGACACCCGACCTCGCTACGCCACTGACACCACATGTTAAAGAAAACAAACTAAACGCTTCGTGCTACAACTGTTGGTCCAGCACGCTGGTTTAAAATTAGGTAAACATAATACAAAATTGTGCCGACATTAATTCATTAAAACAACGTAAATCTTTAACATGCTGTAATATTTCTCGTCTCAAAAATTATTTGAATATCAAATTTAATGAATTAAACAAATTTTACGGATTTTAAAAAATTTTGTGTGTATGATGTACTTTTAACAGGATGTGAAGGAGACCTTCATATGTTAACCTTGAACAGATTGTTTATATTTAAAGCCATAAAAATAATAATATTATTATAGCATCATTAGAAATGTTTAAATTTAAAGCTATAAAAATAATAATATTATTATAGCATCATTAGAAATGTTTGTATTTCAATACTATTTTTTAAAATAAATGTTTATAATACTTTTAGACGAAATTAATTAATTACCTTTATTTTTTTAAATTATAAAACAAAAATCAATTGACCAGCTATAGGGTAATTATTTTAATTTCTGCGAATTAGCTGTTTTGTTTTTTAATGGCTTTTGCGGTTTGAGGATCATATGAGCTTTGTTGGGGAAGATTTACTAAATTGATTTAGGAATGAATTTTGAATTTTAATCATAATTTTTATTCTTATTTTTTTACAACTATAACAAAGTAGAAAGTTTACTGATTATAGCAGTCAGTGTATTTGCAATGTTATATCATTCACCCACTTGGCCGCAAAATAGGGGAAATGACTCTTCCTATCCTAGTCACGTACATTAAAATGGGTTATCTTTCTTAGTCTACTTTTCTTAATGATAACTGATTGTTGCTCTAGAGATGTAATGTTGAAGGACAATAAAAATCAATGGCTGGAAATTATATTAAACAGTGAAATATTAATGGCATTTTCCAGTTACTTTTCATTTAACGAGACAAAAAACAAAGAATTGCAACCAATACCATGTAGTAGACGGTAATTCCGACCGAATGTATGACACACGTTTTTATACAAACAAATTACATTTATTCGAGTTTTTAATTCACAAAAGTTTTTATATCATTTCCGTGGAACCCTCCTCCCCCAATATGTAACATTTCTTGGAAACTCCCCCCCCCCCCCACCCTTCACACACACAAACACAGGCACGCGCACGCACTCCCACAGACACACATACACACACACATACGCATACTTCAATAAACCATAACACAGTTGAGTTGAAAAAAAATTGCTGACTATGATTCGATTTGAAACAATCGAGAGATCTCATAATAAGTCAAAGGAACAATAAAACAAAATAAGATTTTTCAGATTTTTTTATCAACCATTTTAATTTATTAGAAAAACACATCGCACTATGTAAAATACCAATCTCTAACTCAATATATTATGATCAAAGTTTAAAACCACTCCTTTTTAGCGCAATTTCCATACAGGACAATTGCGATTATTAATGCGTTCTGGATGGATGTGTGTCCGATGTGTGTCCGCAGCTTTAAGTCGTATCTCCTCCTCAACGAAGCAATATCGAGGACTAGTTTCAAAAGCAAATATGTTAAGCAAGTTACGAGGATGATTGTGGGCCAACAAAATTCCCGGAATGCCTTCCTGGATTTCCAGGAAAAGCCAAAAAACCTCGAAAAAATGCAGTTTCTGGCCCATACCTCGGCAACCAGACCACTTAGCGACTTGAAACATTTACCAATTGATTCCTGTCATAATTTAGAACAATATTGCCGAAGAAAGTTTTCAAAAATATCCTTTCGTTCGGTCACAAAAATTAATTAAGGAAATTGCGCTTAAGTTGTCACTAGACTTTTTATTAACTTGTTTTTCATTGTGTGTTTTATAAAATTTGACAACTCGTTAACTACTCAGCGATCGAGCAGTTTAAAATGTAATTCTTCTACCTAACCCAGACCTGTTTTAGTTAGCTGGTTATAATTTACACTTGTGATTATTTGAGTAAAATATTTAAACCATTCGAGCATAAATGTATCTAAACATTGTTAAGCTGAAGTCCACATTTTTACACATCCATCAATTAAAACTAACTAGTAACGGCTTTTGTATCAACATCGCGCAATGATGCAAACGATGACAAGATTTATTTTAAAGATTTTATTTTGGCAATCCGCCATCTTTCATGCAAAGCTAATGATGTATAAATTGTATAAGAATCTTGTTTGGTTTTTAATTATTTGCTACGTCCCTCATCACGTGACTTACCCATTCCTTTATAGTCGCGCCAGTCGATTCTATTTTCGTGAAGAATTTTATTTTTAATAATTAAAACCAGTCATACTTTGTGTAAACAGATTAAGCCGTCTGAAAAAAAATAACTGGAATGACGTCATCAGTTATTGCGTGCAGGACAAAAGACAAAAGCCCCGCGCGTATTGATCTGAAGGGACTTGTGTTTGTTGACTGTCGTGTTGGCGCGGCGGATTAACAAATAGTTCCAAACCTTTTGTCTGTGGGAGACTCAAACTGGGCAAATAATTATCGGCCATTGATCAACGAGGCTGACAAGTACCGTAGGATGTTAACAAACTTCGGGTTTTGGATTTTGTAGAGGGGGATGCCAAATTTCAAAGGGGGTGGGGGAGGAAGGGGGGTATAGATAAATAATGACTGTCTGATGTCAGCCAAAGATATTAGTCGATGTTTTTCTGATGTAGTCACTGATGTGTGATATTTGTAATGTGACGTTATCAGTGTGGGGCTAGTGTTTGATGGTGTAGGTGATGGTAGAAGTGGTAGTGGTGGTAGCAGATGTAAGCATGGAGCATAAAATGGTGCGTAGTATTGATAGCAGATACAGGTGTGTAACAGATACAGGTGTGTAACAGATACAGGTGTGTAGTAGATACAGGTGTGTAGCAGATACAGGTGTGTAGTAGATACAAGTGTATAGTAGATACAGGTGTGTAGTAGATACAAGTGTGTAGTAGATACAGGTGTGTATTAGATACATGTGTGTATTAGATACAGGTGTAGGTGTGTAGTAGATTCCTGTGTGTAGTAGATACTTGTGTGTAGTAGATAAAGTGTGTATTATATACAGGTGTGTAGCAGATACAGGTGTGTAGCAGTCGTAGTGTGGTAGTTAGACTTAAGTTATTATGAACATAAGTGAAAATTTTCAGCTCTGAAACGCCAATACTCTTTGCATAATCGTGCACTTAAATATGTTACTAAATATAGTAAAAGCTCTCATTTTTTAAGGTCTTTTCAAGGTAACAACACTTTTGAAGTATATTTTCTTACTAGTATGCTGGTAAAAAATATTAGCCTCAAAAGTTTATAAATCAAGAAATTTCACTCTTGGGGGTGAGCCCTATCCGCAGTGAAAGCTGTAATATTGCAAGGGAGGTAACACAAATAATAAAATAAAAATCACGAAAATATTGTATTAGTTCCCCTTACGATACAAGACTACCTCGCATTCTTGTAGGGCGAGTTAAACAGTTCAAATTATGTTGGTAAAATACATTGTAAAGAAAGAGGTTTGTTTATTATAAAACTAAAAACAACAAAAAAAAAACAAAAAAAACAAAGGGATATAGAAAACGTGTTTATTTTATTTTGCCAATTTAACCCGTAATAAACTTACAATATCAAACTTTTGTATGCAAATCACATTCATATTAAACGTAAGCGTACATGCTTAAAAAGTATACTTTCGTACTTGTTAGTTCATTATCATTATATACTTTCTTCTGTTGAAAAAATTATCTATCCTTTGATCAAGTATAAAATGAATTCCCAAGAAATTTGATATTTAAATGATTTCATTTCTTTACATAATTTAGCATAACTAAAGCGTACTCCCATCTAGCACCGAACATTAATTAATCAAACATAACATATTGTTGTTTTAGAAATATACAGTTAATGTTAACAAAAAGAGATTTAATAGAAAAAAAAAGTCTACAAAAAAATATCACAAAACCACAAGTTTATAAAAATTACCATCAAACATTTTAAAACTACAAAGTTGGGATTCTATGGTTTTTGGCCTTCTCTTTATCCACTTTATCAAAGTCTGTGAGAGCACTGACCACCTCTAATACATGACCCTGATTTAGTGTGCTTGGGGTCAAGGTCCACTTGCTGACCAGGTCTTGACCCAGCCCGTCCCTGGCATGTCGCCAGAAGATCACAACACGAAGTCGGCAAACCCGCAAATAATTTCTTCATTGGATTCGTCCAGCGCCCAGCCTTTTGTTTGGTATCTGCCCTGTGAAGGAAATCAATTGAGATCAAATATCTGCCCTCTGAAGGAATCAATTGAGATCATATATCTGCCCTGCGAAGGAAATCAATTGAGATAAAATATCTGCTCTGTTAAGCAAATCAATTGAGATCATATATCTGCCCTGCGAAGCAAATCAATTGAGATCAAATATCTGCCCTGTGAAGGAAATCAAGTGAGATCTAATATCTGCCCTGTGAAGGAAACCAACTGAGATCAAATATCTGCCCTGTGAAGGAAATCAATTGAGATTAAATATCTGCCCTCTCAAGGAAACCTACTAAATATCTGCCCTGCCAAGGAAACCAATTGAGATCAAATTTCTGCCCTGTTAGACAAAGTGGGATGTTACATCGAGAGGGGGGGGGGGATTTATTCAATCAGGACGATACATTGTGACTGAACTAACATAATCAAAGAGGGGCATCATTAAAGCTCAACTCTAATATACGTCAATAGACTATTCAAATGTCCGTCAATAGAATATTCAAATGTACGTCAATAGACTATTCAAACTTACTTCAAATAGACTACTCAAACTTACGTCAAATAGACTACTCAAACTTACGTCAATAGACTACTCAACCTTACGTCAAATAGACTACTCAAACTTACGTCAAATAGACTACTCAACCTTACGTCAAATAGACTACTCAACCTTACGTCAAATAGACTACTCAAACTTACGTCAAATAGTCTACTCAACCTTACGTCAAATAGACTGCTCAACCTTACGTCAAATAGACTACTCAAACTTACGTCAAATAGACTACTCAAACTTACGTCAAATAGACTACTCAAACTTACGTCAAATAGACTACTCAAACTTACGTCAAATAGACTACTCAAACTTACGTCAAATAGACTACTCAAACTTACGTCAATAGACTATTCAAATGTCCGTCAATAGACTATACAAACTGGGTCGGCGCTACTTATATGGCGAACTGGGCGGTCGCCTAGGGCGCCATCCCTAGGGGGGGGGGGGAGTGCGCAAAATGTTAAATGGCTATTATCAAAAAAGTACCTAATAATTAATAACTTTTATAAAGGTATAATAGCGATCTATTTCGGCACCCAGGAAGAACTATCAATTTTGCAACCCCACCCCAAAATTAGGTCTATATAGGCCTATATTTATTCGCTAACGTGAAAATGCAACCCCACCTCCAGAATTTGGAAAGGTCGTGTTGTTTTTTACCAGTCACTTTGCCTTTTTATGTTGGTGTCACATAATTAATGTAGAAAACGATTAAATAAGTTCATAATTTAAATTTCGAACATTTCAAACGAATATCTAATTTTAATAGGGCTTGTAAGTCTCGTTTTTTCTTACTTTGAATTAGAAATTTGTCCTGGTGTATAGAGTTTTGTAATGACGGGGTGTTCAAAGTATTGTACTTGTTTGGTAAGTTTTGATGAATCGTTTAGATTTGGGAGTAACGGCGGAAGGCTGTTTTGTGATATGGTTTCATAGGTATAAAGTATCGAAGGGTTAAAGAGTCATAATTTTTATTCGTCTGTTTTGTAGATGAAGGTCTAGTGGAATCTGATTGGTACTAGAGGAATAGGAATGCAGGTGATGAAGTATCGAAGTTCTGGAGTTCGGGAGTATTGATTTTTGTGGTATTAAGGTATCGAATTATATTAACTGTTAAAGTGTAGTAGTTGGTCCAGTGAAATCGTTGTTGATTAGGAGTACTGTTTGTAGATTTTAGTGTCGTAGTTCTGGAGCATCGTGTCTAGTTATGTTTAAGTATCGAAGCTTGATATGTGTTGTGAATGTAGTAAAGTATATTGAGTAGTCGAGTTTATCGTACTTAAGGTGATTTCAATTCAGTGCGGAACACACTACAAAGAAAGGTAGGCGTTCTCTAGTTGAACAATCTTTAGTTTTTTAGGAATCTACATTACCTCTCTTAAAGTATTAATATATAATATTAAATAGTATGAAATTTATAACTAAACGTAAACTTTTGTTTTAATCAAATTATTTTTTTTATATTTAATCAATAATTCTAGCATTGTCTAAAACAGGCGTTCCTTTAATTAGGGGATCCAAAAAATTTATACGCAGAATTTAAGGCTAGAAACATCGTTAAATTGAATGTCATCAAAATTGAATAGAAGTATGTTATGATAAAGCTACCATTTTTGGACTTTCAAACAAAATCTACAGTTAAGTATTCAATAAATAGAATATAGTGTTTTCACAATCTTACATAGTTAATATAAAAGATTTTTTTATAATTATTACATAATGAAATTAGAACGTTTTATTGTGTTTTTCAAGCTTGCCTTAGTTACACTTGGATTATTTAGCTATTGTTGTGAAAGTTATTTCCCTTGAATGAAATTTTTGTCTTTGGATTTTTAAACGGGAGATAATTCGTTGCTAAACTTTACATTCATTTCAAATTCCTGTACCTTAGGTTGACCGCTTACATATAAATACAACTTTAAGTTATTATTTGCTATTGTAAAAATTATACATCAGTAGCCGTTGTATATTGCAATACTTAATGTTAGTAGACATACAGTCTTAGTCGTAAATTAAACATCTAATTCATTGTAAGGGGGGGGAGGGTGGCGGCTAAGTCGTAAAGTACAAAGTAGACTCGCGGACTTCAATAAAATGTGATTACGCTTGCAAACTGGAATTGAAGGAATTAGTACAAACTTTTGAGACGAAGGAGGCACGTAAAATTTGATTTTGATGTCTACTTAAAACGTGTATGCAATTTATAATAAATAAATATGTCACTTTTAATTTATTGTTTTCTTATACATATGTTTTATAAGTAATCAATTTGTGTGAAAGGGGGCGTTTTAGTATGTTTTGCCTATGGCGCTAAATAACCTGGCGCCGGCACTGTATACAAATGTCCGTCAATAGACTACTCAAACTTACGTCAATAGACTACTCAAACTTATAGAACGTGAATAATAACTAGCTCAACCTTCGCATTAAAATTTTAAAAAGTTAAACTTAGTAGCTTTATTAGACCTATTATTGTAAAGTAAGTGGATTTAAGGAAAATTCAAGAACAGTAATTCTAGACTCACTGCGGGGAGATAATCCATGATATGCTTGACCTTGACCTTGCTGATGAGCCCTTGCCTGATGGGGCAGGTGAAGGTCTTGTTGGCCTCGGGCAGCTCCTGCTCCAGCTCGCACAGCTCCCAGTAGTTGGTGTACAGCTCCTGGCCGTTGTACTTGATGTCCACGTGGAACTGACCGCCATTGATGTCCTTCTCTGGAACAGTAACAGCAGGATTAGTTGGGTTACTCTAACGCCTTGAGGTGTTGAGTTGTTGTGTTACTGTAACGCTTTAATGTGTTGCATTGTTGGGTTACTGTAACGTCTTCATGTGTTGCATTGTTGTGTTACTTTAACGTCTTAATGTGTTGCATTATTGTGTTACTTTAACGTCTTAATGTGTTGCATTACTGTGTTACTTTAACGCTTTAATGTGTTGCATTACTGTGTTACTTTAACGCCTTAATGTGTTGCATTACTGTGTTACTTTAACGTCTTCATGTGTTGCATTGTTGTGTTACTTTAACGTCTTCATGTGTTGCATTATTGTGTTACTTTAACGTCTTAATGTGTTGCATTACTGTGTTACTTAAACTCCTGAATGTATTGCATTGCGGGTACGGATAACTGTGGTAAAAGCACGGGGTAAGGAGGAATGTTCGGGGGGGGGGGGGGGGTATATCTTGCTCCTTGAGAACGTTCATTTCTTGAAAAAAGCAAGCCTTATTATTGGTAGAGTTCTCTGAGTATCATCAGAGTTACCTGGCTTAGAACAGTGTATAGTACCGTGTATAGTACCGTGTATAGCACCGTGTATAGTACTGTGTATAGTACAGTGTATAGTACAGTGTATAGCACCGTGTATAGTACAGTGTAAAGTACCGTGTATAGTACCGTGTATAGCACCGTGTATAGTACCGTGTATAGCACCGTGTATAGTACAGTGTATAGCACCGTGTATAGTACAGTGTATAGCACCGTGTATAGTACCGTGTATAGCACCGTGTATAGCACCGTGTATAGCACCGTGTATAGCACCGTGTATTGCACCGTGTATAGCACCGTGTATAGTGACCTGTATAGTAGTATCAGAATGTACAATGCAAATAAATAATTCCAACACGACCCATAACTTCCACTAATGAGAAAACTAACGTTGAAAATCTTGCAGGGAGTGGAAGAAAAAATTCGGAGTAGCTAAAATGGATATTGAATAATGTCACTGGGATTTGTTTGAGTAACCTGGGTCCTGTATCACACAGCAAATTATGAATAATCTACTTCCATAGAGAACTATAGTCTACATCATTTAATACACGTGAATACTAATCTGAATAACAAGCCCTGTGAGATAACTGTTGTCATGTAACCCTACATCTTCCTTCTCATCAACATACACACAAGCAAACTCATCTAAAACACTGCTCACCTACGGTCATGTTGACAAATGTTTTGGTCATCACCCCACCCCTCTCCTTGTCCTCCATCAACACCACTGTCCCCAGCTGTGTCCTCTGGCCATCTGACATCAGAGATATCAAAACATCAAACACATGTACTCTAAAGTACTAGGTATAAATAGTACACTTTCGGACAATCCGGTCAATAGGACCAATGGAGTTTTTGTCACCTCGACATAATACAAAGAAAGCGTGGTAATTTCTATGGCTAGACGTCATTTACTTTCCCTGATGTCATTTCCAGGTAGACACACTCTTGGACGTCTTACGGACCAGTCCTGGATCTGATCTGAAACTTTCTTGTTCACAGACGTGTGCTCACGTAAGTGGCGTAGCCAGGAATTGGTCATGGGAGGGGTTCAAACATGTTTCCATATCAGAGGCGTAGCGAGGGGAGAGGACGAGGGGGGGAGACATATGTCCCCGGGCGCCGACCTTAGGGGCGCCAAAATGGGTTGGAAAAATAAATTGAAAGATTGAGGTGGGGGGGGGGGGGTGCAAATCGAAATCCTGAGGGCGGGGTGGGGGGTGTAAATCGAAAGTTTGAGGGGGTGGGGTGCAAATCGAAAGTTTGTCCCCGGGCGCCGGGTCGCTACGCCTTTGTTCCATATGTATACAATCCTATATATATATATAGGGGTGGGGGTCCATGGGAGGTGTTATAGCCCCACTAACCCCCCCCCCTTGCCTACGCCACTGGCTCAGGCCCCGACCAAGCCGTACCACATGTATGAAATAACTATATTGTTGGTACAAATAGATTCCAACAATCTAATAATATAAAATTTTAATTAGCAACCGTTATTTATAAATCACAGGCACTATTTATATGTGTACTTTCAAAAGCAAAAAAAAAAAAAAAAAAAAACAGGCTTAACTTGTATTTTTTTTAAATTAATTTTTAAAAACCAATTATTATGGAATTTTTTTACAAAAGCAATTAAATTATAAGTTGGATTTATATTCATTATTAAGATTGTGTTAAGTGTTTTAAAAAGCTATGTCACTGTTCAGTAGGTTTAAAATCGGTAAGTGAAATCCCGGTGATGGTATTACCACATCGATCAAATAAAGCACCCACAGCCACAAAGTGGTTCTCATGCAGGAAACGTGTCCACACATCCGCGTTGTCAACCTCGTCTACATCTACCTTGTCCCCAGCATCGGGCCGGGGGTCAAGGTTAAACTGTGACTTCCGGTTCATCTTCAACAACACGTCCGTCGGTGGCCTCTTGAAGTAGGCCAGGTAGATGGCCGTGGCCAGCATGGAGATTAACGTCAAGATGGCCAAACGGGCCAAACGCCGGCGAATAAATACTTTGATTAACATTATTTTCAACCACTAATTAAATCTACTAATTAGCCGTGTGTTGCCTTAAGTTTGAGTAAGAACACCGCAAAACACAATATGTAGTCCATAGTGAAATACAGTGAACACGGGTACACACAATTTGATGACGTCACTAAATTCACATTTTACTGCACTATGTGAAGTCAAAGAATCGTCGACAAACTCTATAAAACGCCGTTAAGACCTATCCAATTTACACTACACACAAGCATAAAAAATGTGTACAGGTATGGATGTTGTACTGAACTGTGAGGAAGGGACCGATAACGGAATTGATAACACAGATGATAACAGGAGCTAATTGAATCTCTGACGGTCTCACTTTCAATGTGACCTTTGTCCTGACCGATAAAGGCCGATATGTCTATTTTTAGAAACAGATGTTCTTGATAACGTAACAAAGGATCATCACTAAAACGATTCAGTCAAAGATTGTAATTAAAAATAAAAAACACATGCAATATATGTACCACTACTTGTGAATTGAGTTTGTCTTTCTGACATGCACCAACAATAAATGGTGCACGGACATTTGACCACAGGTGCTTTGACCATAGGGGTTTTGACCATAGGGGGTTTGACCAAAGGTGGTTTGACCATAGGGGGTTTGATCATATGGGGTTTGACCAAAGGTGGTATGACCACAGAGGGGCTTTGACCATAGGGGTTTTGATCACAGCGGCGCTTTGACCATAACCGGGCGTTGACTATAGGGCCTTTGACCATAGGTGGTTTGACCACAGGTGTTTTCTCAGCAGAGGTTCTTTGATCACAGGTGGTTCGTCAACGGGTGTTTGATCACTAGCGCTTTGTCCGACTTTGACAACATTTGTTTTGTCCACATAGGTTGTTTGACCACAGGTGGTTTATCCAATGCTGGCGTTTGATAACAATCGCTTTGTTTACATATGGTAAGGATTAATTTCAAATGTTGTGTAATTATGTTTTAAATTGCGACAGGATGTAATAAAATGTTAATTCATCTGTCATTTTGTTAACCATACAAATATTATTTATTTGACTATACTGTTGTCATGTTTTTTTTAAACCTTTGTATATGCTATGTATTTTCAAGTACATCTACATTATTTATTTGTGAAACTTGTTATATGTGGCATTATATGTGTTCCATTTATATTTAAAATAAATCTATGAGGTCTAGCACCAGACTTTATGTGGAGACTAAAATATCATTCTTTACTTTTTTTTTAGTAAATTTCTATTAATTGACTCTCATGAAACATGTATAAAATCGTAGAAATTGTATCATAAGTTTAAATTTTAAAAAAGCAGTTTATAATTTCTTTTTTTAAATCTATATATTATGGTTAACCCCTTCTGTGGACAAAGCTCCGCTGTGGTCAAAGCACCTAAGACCCAATAAATAATAACAATGCTAAATTAAACTAACTAACTACAGCTATATATATATATATATATATATATATATATATATATATATATATATATATATATATATATATATATATATATATATATATATATATATATATATATATATATATATATATATATATATATATATATATATATATACGTAGAGGGGAGAGGCAGATTTGTTGTGATAAACTGTGTTGTACAGACGTAGACTTTTTCTTTCACAACAAAGGTGGTGGAAATATGTTGGTCTACATAGGTTTTTTTTTATGTGTTGGTGGTTAATTTGTGTGACTATATTTATGAGGGAAGGGGTGGGGGTGGGGATGGGGGTGTGGGGGTAGGAAGGATATTTACGACGACATCTAACTATAGGCCTATATTATATAAGTGGGTGGGGGGGGGGGGGGGGGCTAAAAGCATGTTTCGTGTAGGCCTACGTCATTCAGAACAAATAACACCAAAACACGGTTCATCTTTATATCTAGGTTAACCAGTGCCGGCGCCAGGTTATTTAGTGCCCTAGGCAAAACTTATTAAAACGCCCCCTTTCACTTAAATTACTTACTAAAGAAAAAAATAAAATTAAAAGTGACATATTAATTTATTATCAGTTGCATATACCTCATAAGTAGACATCAAAATCAAATTTTACTTGCCTCCTTCGTCGCAAAAGGTTGCACTAATTCCTTTAATTCCAGTTTGCAAGAATAATCATATTCTATAGAAATTTTCCACGAGAGTACGTTGTACTTTACGACATAGCCCCCCCCCCCCTCCCCCTTAGAAAAATTTCAAGTGCTTTCCCCCCCCCCCCCCACCTCCCTCCCTCCCGGGAAAAGAAAGTATGGAAAAAAACACGGAAAAAACCCACAGTTTTTGTAGTGTTGGGCTCTCTGCAGACCTCATAAGGTGAGTTCCAGGACGGAACTTACCTATTTCATGCTTGACTCGTTTTAGGTATAATTGAAAAATGCCTATATTGTATTTTTTTTTTTTTTTTTTGAAAAATTAAAGGTTATAAATGTTATAGATTCCAGCCTACAATTGTTATAGATGAATCCTTTAGAAGAGGGTGAGAAATATGAATAAGACAATTAATTAGATGATTAATTAGTGACTTAGACGATTTTAGACGCATTTGTTGCACTATCTCACGCTGTGTGTCTACTAACATTTAGTATTTCAATATACAACGGCTACTGATGTATTTGTTTTTCAACTGGATAATGCTAAAAAAAAACCATACAGAAATTTTTTGTTTGGAATTTCTGCTCTATATAATTTTAACAAAAGCAAATAATAACTTGTATTTTTTTGTAAGCGGTGAACCTAAGATGCAGGAATTTGAAACGAATGTAAAGTTAAGCAAAAAATTATCTCCCATTTCGAAACCCGAATACCAAAATTTAATTCAAGGGAAATAACTTCCACAAGAATAGCTAAATTAACCAAGCGTAACTAAGATATGCTTGAAAAACACAATAAAACGATCACAATTTCATTACGTAATAATTATAACAAATATTTTATATTAGCTATCTAACCATGTCAAAAAAATATATTTTACTTATTAACTACTTAACTGTAGGTTTTGTTTGAAAATCTAAATACGCTAGTTTTATTATAACATACTTCTAGCCAATTTTGCTGACATACATGTTATTGACGTTTGTTGTACTATAAAAATAGAAAATTTTGGATCCCCTTAATAAGGGGCCACCTTTAAAAAAAACAAATACGGGAAGCTGTTTAAGACATGCTGTATTTATTGATAAAATATTAAAAAAAATTATAATTTGAAAAAAACAAAGTTTATGGTTAGTCATAAATTCCAGCCTATATAATCTATATATATATATATATATATATATATATATATATATATATATATATATATATATATATATATATATATATATATATATATATATATATAATTCTCTTCTTGGAGACGCTAGAAAACACCAAGCTGTAAGCGCGCACCCTACCACCCCACCCCTACATGGTCTGGTGAGCTGTGGTTCATGCTAAATGTTTACAATCGTAGAGTCGGGTTTAGTGACGGCTATTAGGGGCAGATAATTTAGTTTGAAACGATTTTAAACTTAGGGGAGGTAACTAAGAGGAGGCTGCTTTCACGGGGGGGGGGGTGTAGGGTAGGGGTTGGGGGAAAGGAGAGTGGGGGTAGTATCGTCCTTACCGACCTACTGATAGTGTTTTAAAGCAAATATTTTCAGTGGCAGCATTGGTACTGTCGAATTCACAAATTATGAATTACTGAAAAGTAGAAAATAAAACTAAATAGCGGCGTATGATATGCCGCGGGTCGGCATGTTTTATATATTAATACTTTAAGAGTGGTAATATAGATTCCTAAAAAACTAAAGATTGTTCAGCAAGAGAACGCCTACTTCTTTGTAGTTTGTTCCGTCCTGAATTGAAATCATCCAACTAACGATAAACTCGACTACTCGATATACTCTACTACATTCACAACACATATCCAACTTCGATATTGAAACATAACTAGACTCGATGCTCAAGAACTACGACACCAACTCGCTTAACTTCACCAGGCTATACAAGCGATTCTCCCATTCAACAACGATTTCACTGGACCTACTACTACACATTGACAGTCAACACAATTCGATACCTTAATACCACAAGACTCGATAGTCCCGCACTCCAGAACTACGATACCCTCTCACCTACATTCTCATTTCTCTAATACTAATCAGATTCCACTAGACCTACAACTACACAACAGCCAAATAAAAAATACGACACTTTAACACTTCGACACTTTATATTTAACCGCCGTTACTCCTAAATCTTAACGATTAATCAAAACTTACCAAACAAAGTACAATACTTTGAACACCCCGTCATTACAAAACTCTATACACCAGAACATAATTCTAAATCAAAGTCAGAGAAAACGAGACTTACAAGCCCTATTAAAAACAAAAATTTCACGTGTTTCGGAACGCCCCGTCATGCGCTGGAGCGATCACTAAATCAACATTAAAATTAGATAACCGTTTGAAATGTTCGAAATTTAAATTACGAGTTTATTTAATCTTTTTCTACATCAATTATCTGAAACAAAAATAAACAGGCAAAGTAACTGGTAAAAAGAGGTGGGGTGCATTTTCACCAACGCGAATAAATGTAGGCCTATAAAGGTCTAATTTTGGGGTGGGGGTACAAAATTGATAGTTCGTCCTGGGCGCCAAAATAGATCGCCACTCCTTTGTTTATTACCCTGTCTATAGTTTATAAAAGATAATCAAAGTTATTAATTATTAGGTACTTTTTGATAATAGCGATTAAACCTTTTTGCGCCCCCTAGGGATGGCGCCCAAGGCGACCGCCTAGTTCGCCTTATAGGTAGCGCTGGCCCTGACTTTAACAAAGTTAAAACATAAACGCTAGCTCTTAAATATTCATACATACACACATATTATACATATATATGGGCGGTGCGTGCGAGTTGTTCAAGCACACACACTTCATAAATAAGTCAGTTTTTTTTTTACTAAAACAAGAATTATTTGAAAATCTCTAGATCTACACACTAAAAAGCTAAAAAAAAACCCATCCAACTGGCATTACCACTGCACATTCGTGTAAACAATGAAGATCAATAAACTTCACTTCCGTGAGAAAATCAATAAACCCTAAGTTCAGCAGTCTAGAACTGCGAAGCTGCAGATCTTCTAATGTGTATGGTACGAACTGACCATAGTTTAAGCTATTCAAAAACTCTGAACTTAACACTGGTTTGATAGGGCCAATTTTAAATACCACAGTAAACATTCTTGGGGGGGTAGAGGTTGTGTAGTATTAAATTCTAACATAAATTGAGTAATACTTTAATCCTTGTCAACGTATTACATTCCTTGTAAAATGTTCAATATTAAGTTGCTATAGCTGTAAAAAAAAAAGTAAAAAATAAAGAATCCTCTATAAACCTAGCGATCTAGATGAAGTAGAGTTCTTATATTTTTCTTGACTTCGGCATTTGAAGTAAGGGGGTTGTCAGCACTTTGCCCAGGCGCCTTTATTCTCTAACGTGAGTTAGATACCCACCAGAGCTGGGTGGACTCAGGGACGTTCTACTGACTTGAACCCGGATTCGAACTAAGACCTTCGGGTTAGCAGCCTAGCGCTATAGCTGTACCAAGCTTTACTGTTTAAAAAAAATGTTCACTCGCATTATCGAATTCGTGACGGACAATAGGTTGGGGGATAGAATGGGGGGGGGGGGGGTTGTACTGCCTGTGTCATGGTATCCAGACAAGGGTAGATAACCAAACAGATCAAACAGACTAAGGGGGGTTAATTAGTCATTAAAGGCTTTCATGTCGAACTAGGAGGTAGATTAGATCACGCTGGTGGCCACGGCTACATACACAATGCTCTTTACATCTAAAGACGGGCGATTGTTATGTAGATGTGTTTATCTTTATTTAATGCTCTGACGTCAGACTACCATTATGCAGCTCGATTACAATCGGATCCTTTTGAACGCTGAAAGAACTTGCTTTTTTTTTTTTACTTTCTCGTATACAGAGTATGGAGGAAGTATTGTAATCGTGCAAAAAAACTACATGAAATTTCGACAGTTTTCATCGTTTTACACCTCAGTACTTCATCGTATACGGAGTATAGGAGACTTTTATCTAAAGTTTATTAAAAAGTTTAAGTATGTAAAAACTGATTAAAAATTGTGTATGTATCTCGGAGTTGCCATCCATCGTAGTGTTATATAAGAATATTCGAGAAAGGTAAGGGGAGATCACTCCCGGTTTATTATGTATATCCATCGAAGCTGTTCACTGACGTTGTATCTTATCTGTGTATGTACAAATTGGCTTTTGTAACTAAGAATGATATAATGTAAAGTAAAGTTTCCCTTTCAAACCTGATGGTCTATGGGGCAAGTAAAGTAGAGTTCACTTGTTTCTGTGACCTCTGCATATGAAGAGATAGTGTGGTCGGCACTATGCTGAGCCGCCTTTACTTACCCTAACATGAGTTAGGTACCCATCAGAGTTGGGTAGACTAAGGGACGGTCTACAGACTTGAACCCGGATTCGAACTCGAGACTCACTGGTTAGCAGTCCAGCTCTCTACCGCTAAACCACTCCGTTCCATAAGAATGATATAAGGCCGTGTTTTATTTGGTTTTTTTTTTTTGTACATGTGCCGGGCATTCGTAATTTTGAAGAAACTCAAATTAGAAAACGAAAGTTGTTGACGATAAAATAACGCGGTTTTACCAAAATAATATGTCATTTCAATAATAATATGTCATGTAGCGTTAAATCAAATAAATTGTGGCATTTAACTCCAGCGTGACATACGTTTTAAACTCATGTCATGTATCACAGTCACGTCACTTGAAATTTGAACAGTTTGTCATGCGTAAGTATAAATTACGTCACGTTCACAAATGTGTTCTTTAGAAGTTTTTAAAGCTGGTTTTAGAAGAATCAGCCAACGCGCCTTTTAAACTATCTAGTCCTTGTAAATAATTCTCTTTATTGCTCAGACAGAATTCAATATAAATACACATACACACACAATCTCTTTATTGCTAATGGAGACTTCAATGTAAATACACATACACACACACAATCTCTTTATTGCTAATGCAGACTTCAATGTAAATACACATACACACACACACAGTCTCTTCATTGCTAAGACATACTTCATTCCATTAATTTTCTTGATGTGTAAAAAGGTATAAATCCCCGCCCACCGTGTCGTAGAAATATATTAATAGCTCAAAAGTTCGAACATAAAAATTGTCAATAGGTTTATTAAGTCGTAAAGATTAGCGAAAGTTCATTGATTATCGCCGATATATTTCTATCGATTTACCAGAGACTTACCGAGCTATAAAACGGGGAGGGGATGGGGGGAGGTTAACTTGTACCACGTGATCAAAGAGATCACAGGTGAGAGTATTCAAACTATACTTGAACGGGCGGGGGTGGGCGGGGTGGGGGGTGAGAGAGTGATTGGTGCCAGAACTTCGATTTTTTTTTCACGGCTTGACTAGAACCGATCAATAGACCTGATTGGAACCGATCAATAGAGCTGATTTGTGAATAGATCCATCGATCTTGTGTTGAACTAATGCCGAGTTCGAGCAGAATTTACACTGTGCAAACTCCAGGGGCGTGTCCGCAACCACGAAATTGAATATTATTTTGCCCACACACATTTTCCGGTATGTGTATTCGTTCAAATGCGTTTGTTATTTTTCTTTCAGGAATTTCAGTCGATGGCATTTGATAATTGTTGTAATGTTTATAACAGTCAGTGGCGTAGTGGGGGGTGCGGTGGGTCGCGGACCGCACCGGGTGACACCATTTAGAGGGGTGACACCAAGGCAAAAAATAGTAAAAATATATAGAGAAAAATTTGAGGGGGGGGGGGTGCAAATCGAAAATTGAAAGTTTGTCCCCGGGAAGAGTCTCTACGCCTCTGGGGGTGACACCATTAAGTGCCGCACCGGGTGACACCCGACCTCGCTACGCCACTGATAAGAGTTTTAGATTATTAAAAAATGCATTACGTTTTGCTTTGTATATCAATATGGTGGTTAATTTAAGATATTTTTTTACACAAAATGTGATATCTCGCTAACGTATATTTATAAAAGCTAGCTAGAAGTTAGTCTAACCATAATCAGCATTTATTCATGACGCTTCAAATTTCTTTACCAACGCTGTGTTAAAGTGTTTTGTGTAATGCTGATGTACCAGATACTTCTGTGTGATGTTGATGTGCGAGGCAGTGGTGAGAAGAATGGGGCAACACATCTTGTAAAAGCTAGTATAGAAAAAAAGCAAAAAAAGTAAACACCACTTAATCAACCATTCTTGAAACGCCCCTGTAACAATACTATTTTGTTGATATAAATCTATTTATAGAAGCCGCGGTGTTCCGGGCTTATCAGCGAGAGTCGAGACGCTAAGAGTGTTCTCCCCTTACCTTGTGTACTAGTAACTGGTAGCGTAACGTGAGAGTTCGCTCCCCTTAGCATTGTGTACTAGCGACTTGTAACCTAACCTGACCGTGGAGTTGACGTCTTGTTGTAGTGTGGGGTTGAGACGTGTGGTAGTGAGGTTAGAAGTGGGTGTCGTTGTGTGGAGTGGACGTCATTTTTATTTCCAACGACGGATGTGTTAAGGTGTCATGTGATATACAGGTGGAAGTGCAGGTGAGTGTCTGTCGTGTGGAGTGGGTGAAGTAGAGTCGAGTGTTTACAAATCTTGACTTTGTATCTCTCGGTTATTGATAGTTTGTGGATATAGAAGTATCAATTTGTGTATTTCTAAGGTATCCAATAGTTTGTGGATAAAGAAGTGTCGATGTGTATATTTCTCGGATTGTGATCTTTGTGCATATATTAGTAACAGTTTTAGTATGAGTCGCATATGATAAGACGGATTCAATAGAATGTTATCTACTCTTGTTTAAGTCTTGTTGATTTACCTAGAATTCAGTTCGCAAAAAGTGAAGCCATGTACTTCAATGAATAATAATATTTTACTAGTATTTAACTGAAAACTGATCTATTGTAATGTGTAACAGAGTTTAAATGTCGGTCCGTTAAAAAATTACATAATTTGACATAAATTGTGTTTTTCTAGGAAATATATTTAAAGACTAACAACGGCATCTATACGTTGATATGGATCTTTTTCTTTCCAATGGAATACAGCAGTCGGTGGGGGGTCTAAAGATAGGGTGGCTCGCTACACAGCAACCTCCCGTTATCTTGTTTTGGTACATGTATGAACTACTCGATAAGAAATTATATCTTGCTGGTCTATTAGTATATCTTTCTGGTCTTGTCATCAAAATTCTTTGATGTAATATATCGAATAAAACGTCATCTTTATTAAAAACACTAATGTTGTGTCATTTTTCCAACGGGTTACCAGCTATTGTTTTTTGTCCTTAGGATTCCACTTCTCTAGGTGTTTCTTTTGTCTCCATTGTCTCCAAGGACACAATGTGGCTACATTATAGTGTACAGAATCCCATTATGATAATAATAACGATATACTAACCCTTTCGTAACCCATGCAATCAATCTTCCCGAAATCGACCCACTATGATTCTATATTCTTGTTAGGTTACATTCATCAAGTTTGACTTTAGTTTTACTATCTCGTATACGAAGTATAAGTGAAGTATTGTAATCGAGCAAAAATCTATATCGAGATTTTAATAAATAATTGACGTTTAAAACTCCCAGAGTTATGAAAGCCTAGTTTTGCCGTGTATGTGTGTGTGTGTGAATACGATAATTGGAGTACCTTTTTAGATAGGTGGACGGAATTTTTTACATATAAGTTTTAGCTAAAAAAAACAGTGTTCTACCTACCGGAGGTATATTTTCTTAAAGGCATCAAGATTTTGATAATTTTATGCCATAACATTATAAACCAGCGAATTCTAAGTACTAACCTAACCTTAACCTAAACGAAAAGGCGATTAAGTTAAGGGGAGCCTACCCGCGCTTTAAATTACATTACAACGCCTGTACACGATACATTTCTCCACACCAGGTTGTCTACCCTTGAAGGCCATGACGAAAGTGAAAACCATTTTGGCTGAGTTCTGCTCACCCAAAGACATCCTAGCTATCAACAGACTGGGCCTTATCAAGAATGACGAAAGGGATACACAGCCCGTACCCTGGAGACATAGACTGCCAAATTCGTGAGTTCATGGGTTGTTAGACTTCATTAATTAATTAATTAATTGTCCGTCTTAGATAATTGATGATGTTTGGTTGATGCGGGAGTCAATTAGTTGATTGCGTACATTAATAAAGAGATTGGGTTTATTGATTTATCAATAATTTGATTCGATTGGCTGATTGATTTATTGATTGATTAGCTAGCTATTTGATTGTTTGAGATATTAATTCGCTGACATTATAAATTATTTTTTATTATAAAATGGTCTTACTGTATATTCTCAATTATTTCATTTTACTATTTTCAATTGACGATGTTAGTGGTTGGGTGTTAATTAGGGGATGGTATAATTAGTGCGATTAAGTAAGTGATAAATTTAGTATTTCAATTACAGTGCAACTTTGTAGATGTACTTGAAAAGAAGTCAATACAAAGACAATGTTTATGTTCTTAACCCAAACCCTGCCGATTGTACTAACCCTAATTAAGTCCTTACCACTGAACCGGATAGTGCAATACTAATAATGACTTAATACGTATATTGTCGTATGAGATCTGAGCAGTGTTTCTTCCAGACTTTTTTCTCCGGGGGGGGGGGGGGGGGGGGGGCACTTGATATTTTCAGGGGGACGGACTTAATTTCCGGAAGAGATAATTGGAAGAAACTCTGGATCTGGGATCCGAACTCGAGATTTTCGAGTGCTCTTCCGCCCCACCACCCTGTCCCATACTTCCGTGTAACGTTAAATCTCGCCACTCTCCAGGGAGAGACGAGATCTCGTCAGGAGCGAGATGACGCTGAGACCGACCACCAAGGTACACGCCAGAGACAAGGCCCGCGCCGTCCACACTGCCAGGAACCCCAAAGACTCCAAGATGGGGGAGTGTCTGTTGAACAATCACGTGAGGGGTGACCCCCTGCTGGGGTCAAACCTTGGCCAGATCAACAGGTACGTTGTGTGATGGTTGGTTTCATGTATAAACAGGAATGTTGCTTTTATGTAAAGTGAGAGTCTTTTTAAGATTAGGGTTGGTCCTAGATGTACGGTAAGTTTGAAGCTTAGGATTATATACTATTTAGTTGATTAAGATTTATGTTCACAGCTTAGGATTATAGTTTACTATTTAGTTGATTAAGGCTTATGTTTACATCTTACGATTATAGTCTACTGTTTAGTTAATTAAGGCTTAAGTTTACAGCTTAATATTATAGTCTACTGTTTAATATTCACGGGTACAAGTTAGTGTTATGGTTTTGATTGTATGAGTATGTGACTAACCTTCTAATGTTCTCTTAAAAATTAAGGGCTTAGTTTAAAAACGTCCTTAGTGTTGAGGATTTATAAGCGTGATTTTATATTTGGAGAATTGTATGTTTTGATTAGCTTTAAAAGCGCTTAACGTCAGTAGAGTCTCAATACTTATTTTTTTCGCTGCTAAGTAGGTGCCAACATTCTAATTTCAAACTGCGATATAACATTTTGTTTAGCTTCAAGTCTTTTACGTTAGTTAAGTTAATTCGACAATTAAATCCTTACATCCTAACATCAATTAAAGCTTGAATTCTTACCCCTTGCACAGGAACCAGAAGAGGCGGGAACAAGGACTGGAACAGTCGATGGAACTGTTCTTGAGGAAGTCCAACTGTCTCAGTCACGAGCCGCTGATATTGGTGGAGAGAGCACCGTCACAGAGTGTGAGTACTCACCCTCTAGTACAGTAAATACTATGTGTTATCAGTGGGCATGAGAAGCATGTAAAACAGCCACACTATAGCTATACAGAGTAAACTGGAATGCTGTAAAGAACAAAATACAACATAGGTCAACATACAAAAAACAATTGCCTACGTGAAGCTGTCAATCAATTGCCCAACTAAATGCAAGGAAAAGATGACATTAACTTACTGCTGGTAAACCTGCTGGCATAAGATCACAATTTACATTTGACACGAGGTTATATACCCGTGGTAAAAAACAATTCACTCAACTATAGTCGCAATTCAGGGCTCTGGTCTTATCGCATCACTCTATACCCTCCCACACATTCTCACAAATTCTTACACATTCACAAGCATTCCAACATATTCCCATATACCCCATACATCAACATCCCTACATTACCCCTCCAAAAAAAAAAAAACCACCACACTTCACGTTTCATAATTAGTCCCTGATCACTAAACTTTTATCTAGATTTTCTATAGTATGTTCGTGTATCTTACCAGGTCCAGACCCGAGCAGCATTAATGCGTGAGTTCCATCTCGACCCGGAAGCGATTCTCAAACCCCGGTACATGCGCCCCCTGGTGTCTAGAAGCAGGACCCCGTCCACACTGGTCACCATCGAGGCCTTCACCGTCCAGCGGAAGTTGAAGAAGAACATCTGGGACGAGGCCATCGACGAGACTCCCAAGTTCACCAGCACGTCAAGGCCGTCTGCTCGCCTGACCAAGGAGGAGTTTGACCAGCTGCAAGCCGGTTACAGCTCCCACAAGCCCACGGCACAGCAGCTCAAAGCTGGGGTGACCGGAGCTGTGGACAAGCCGAGGTCAGCGGGTTCAAGGCCGAGGAGTGTCAGGCCGAATTCTGTTTTTATTACGCAGATGACGTATCGAGATTCTAGGTCAGAGGTCAAAAGCTAGGATTCGGGAAAAAAATAAATCTTATAAAATCTAAAATTTCGATGGATTAAAAGAATAACAAAGAAATGGAACAGTGACATATAAATAAGAGCTGCATAAAGTTTATGCTTTTTTTTTTCATCGATACACAGATTCAAAGAAACATTGACAAAAACAAACTGTAAATTAATATTTGAAAGGTAAGAACAGTGCACATGGTGTACCCAATCACGTGATGTTACAGGGGTGTACCAAGTCACGTGATGTTTGAGGGGTGTACCAAGTCATGTGATATCTGAAGCATATTGCCTACTTAGTCATGTGATGTTGACTACCTGCTGCAGAGCAAAATCACAACATTTCAGCTCAAAGAAAATACTGCGAGGGCTGTCGCAACAGCTACAGTGTATAATAATATATGTTTTTTTTTAAAGGGAGTGTTTGTATTGTAATACATGTATGAGGTTTTTATTTATATTTCCGGTCGCATGTATGAATGGGACCGATAGAAGGAGCACCCGCGAAACTCGATTTACAGACGACATCCTTTTTCTCAGACCATATTATCAATCTTATCCTTTGATTCATCTTCAGTTGTTCTTTTCAGAGTCCTAAGTGACTGAGTTTGTAAATTATTACGACAGCCTATTATAAATATTACAGTTTAGCACATTTATATTTTAAATGTTTTAATTAAATTGCTTATACTGTTTATTTCAGTCAGTATAAATGTTATATCTTTTTCTGGTATTAATTTTGATTTTTTATGTAAATTTTAACGTTATATTTTATTATTTTTTTATTTTCACCTAAAATCTATTTTTTTTAATCCAGGGGAAAGAATTCATTTTTTGTTTTGTACTCTGCTATTTCATTGTAGCGTCCCTTAGAATATACTTTACAAAAAGTCATTCCACAAAAAATAGTTAATGATGACTTACAACACTACAAACTTGTTTTATTTTTAAAAATCAAATTTAGTTATAAGTTTAAACATTATTTCTGTAAACACATAAGTGTTTTTAATAGATGCTGTAGTAAAAAGCATTACATATTTGCTTATATTTTCCTTTACATTTTTCTGTTTTTGGGGTTTGATTGTTTCTTTAAGTAATTAGCTTGTGATACGGACATTCGGTCACCTTTTAATACTGTTTTATAGCTCGATCTAATAAGTTACACGGAGTGTCTAGAGAGACTATCTAAGGAATGAAATCATTTAAGATATCTAATAGAGAACTGATTTAATCCCGCAGCATGTTAACTGTGTTGTCCCTAGATGTGATTGGCCATATTGCTGACCACACTATCCCCTTATAAGCCGAGGTCACAGAAACAGGTGAACTCTGCTTCTTTTGCCCCGTGGACCATCAGGTTCAAAAAGGGTACTTTAATTTAGTAGTTACTGGCTGGAATGTGTTATACTTCACAAAATCCGAATGTCACTCCCAAAATCACACAAACACACAGACACACACACGAATACACTTACATACACATACCTTATTTTTAAAAATACGTTGTAAAAACATATACGTGCTGCAATATTACAAAACTATATTTCGTTTTTTGTTTTTTTTTTAATAAATAATGTACTATTGATTTTTTTATTTTTTATTTTTGTGTCTTCATTATGTTAGAATCTTCCTAAACTGGATGTAAAATTTATTAATTTAAAACTCTTTTTATATTTTTAGAGCAAAGAGATTTTTTTTTTGTTTCTGATTTTTTTAAACCGTGCGTCTGATGTGTGCATTAGAGGCAATGGCCTCAAGGTATAGACCGTTATGTTTTGGTTAATGTTAGTTTTTTTTTTTTTTTTATAATGCGTGTAAAAAACCAAACTGGACGAAAGAGAAAACGGGGATTTAAAAAAAAAAAAAAAGAAATATCCACACTCGGACATGATCGACGTAATAATTGATTCAAATTAAGGGGAAGGGAGATAACAGGCTATCATTATCGTGATTCTCTCCCCTGAATGCCCTACCTCCGCCTTCCCTTTCCCCCCGCTCGAGAGAAGCTCGTTAAGAAAATATCCCAACATGATTTCGCCCCGGGGTGGCCGGGCCATTGTGGCGGGCACGCCGCGGTGTAGATGCGACGCGACACGGCTTACAGGTCATTAGCCAGAGGATGGCCGCACCATGGTGCGACACGGTGCGGAGACGCGTGCCACAGCCAGCGAACGCCTTGTGCGACGCGCGTCCACTTTTTCATACGGGAGTTGTCCTCGGCCGTGGCGGTCTTTCAGCCGGGGAACGATTGGGGGAGAGGGGGTGTGTGCGGACGTGCGGGGGTGCTTTTATTTTGTCAGTCTGTCGTGGGTTTGCTTTATCAAGCTGTAACCGAGTGGAAATGTATGCTTTGTTGGACGCTGGATGGCCCCTCGCTGGATGGCCGGACGCTGATGGCCAACGGTGCGATAGGCAAGGAATAAACGTCATGCTTCGAAGAAGCGTATAAAAAATATGGTATTGTTATCTTGACTGAACTAGAGCTGCCCCATAGTAAAGTTAAGAGTGGTAGTTAAGTCCAGCGTTAACAAAAAATATGGTATTGTTATGCCCTGCAGTACAATTAATTAAGGACAATAGTTAGGATCGGCGTTAGTAAAAAAATATGAAATTGTTATGTTGACTGTACTAGGTCTGCCCCAAAGTAAAATAAAGGACTGGTTAAATTCGGCTCTAGTAACGGTAATCAGGTCAAGTTATATTTTCTAAAGCTAAATCGAACAAAATGTTAAAGCTTTGAAACGGGAAAACTTAGAGAATAAAATGTTATGCTACTTGTAATTGTAACAATATTGTGTGAATTATTATTTTCTTGATCTAAGTACTTGATCGGTTTGTTCAATGTTATGGTTTGATTAATATTTTTTATTTTATTTTTACACAGATAACAACCAAAGTAATATGTTTTGGTACGTTTAAACAACAAGTGAGAAGCTTTTGTTTTAAATTGTGCATACGTTGGTAGTTTTAAAGAGAATGTTGTGACAATAATGTATGTGGTAAAGTGATTTTCCTGCCTGGGGGAGCGTTTATATAGAGTTACCGTTCTTTGACCAAAGCGTTTGACAAAACACTTTCGGTTGTTTGAATAGATTTTAGGTTAAGGTTAGTGTAATGGCCAGGTTCTAGAAACATAGTAGTCGTGCAAACACACATACACACATACACACACAACAAACAAACACATATTCAAATACAACTTGTTGACCAATTAATACGTATTAAGAAAAGGCGTTATAATGTGTTTCCTCCCGCCAACAAAAAATCCAGTTACAACAGTGAGGAATACAACAATCCGTCTAAGAAGCAAAATCACAGGTAGAACATTCACTTCGTGTGCATGATGCTCTGAAAAGATGGATACAATTTTTTTCTGTATTTTATAAAACAACTACGCGGACACGGTACATATACAACAAAGAAACATGTATTATTCAAACCACGAGATGTGTATTATAAAATCACGTGTGATGCTACGTAACGTAGGCTAATAAATTACACATATTATTATGTATTTGCTTTTATAGTTTAATACATTTCACGCATGTAAAAAACAGGTTTATCTTAAGGTAAGATCAGTAAGATGTTTGTGTATTAGTGAAATGTGTTCAAATGTGTAATTTACATTTTTAAGACTTAAGTATACAAATTTTGCATACACAGAAAACGTATGTATCGAACAGTGATTGATTGAATACTAAACACAGCATGTGTCTGTCGAGTGTAGAAGAAAAATCCGTTTAACGTAAATAGTGAAGTGTATCCAACACGGTTAAAACTTTACATTTAGGAGCACGCTGATTCCTCTGTTAATTAATCTAAATGTCTTGATGTTATGCATTGGTGTTGTTTGGTTTTGAGAGTTCTTTTTCCTCTTCGTTCAAAAGGTTTGTTTAATTAATAAAAAAAAAAATTTCGTAGCATGTGTATTTTGATCGCCTGTAAATTGGATGTTGTTTCTTTCTAATTGAATGTGAAGGGGTTGAATTTATTTGTATAGGTTTATTTTGCTCAATGGGACGCCGGTAGAGCGATAGACTGCGAATCCGAAATTCTAAAGTTCGAATCCGAGTTCATGTCGGTACAATGCCCCTGAGTCCACCCAGCTCTGATGGGTACCTAACGTGAGTTAGGTAAAGTAAAGGCGGCTGAGCATAGTTCTTCACACTCTATCCCTTTATTTGCCTAAGGTCAATGAAACTGATGAACTCTACGTCACTTTCCCTTGGACAGTCATCGTTTGACTATACTGTAACAACAAATGGCTAATGGGTGGGGGAGTGTGGAAGGGGCGGGGGAGGTGGAGGATGAAGGTGGGAGGGGAGGGGTCGTGTGTTTGCCGACTTAAGGATGAGCGGACTATTCCGGACTATACACAGTACAACGAGGGAATCTTTGGTAGCGCCTGCACTGTAACAACAATGATTTAGTGAAGGGGGGGGGGGGTGCAGCAAGGATGGTAGCGGGGTGGGGGGGGGGGGTGGGGGAGGGGGGTGACGATTAAACCAGTGATCTCCACGCCTGGGTGGGACTTAAGTAAAACTAGGGAATTTTTGGTAGCGCCTGCACTGTAACAACAATGGCTTAGTGGGTGGGGGGAGGGGGTGTAACAAGGATGCTAGCAGGGGTGGGGGAGGGGGGTGACGATTAAACCAGTGATCTCCACGCCTGGGTGGGACTTAAGTAAAACTAGCCTGACGGATGATAATGGACTCGAGTTAGTTAAACGTCAGCTCGCGTGCACCGGTGAGTACCTAGCCCCTTTTTGTACACGACGTCCGCACGCGACCGGCGCGCGCGCGCCCGGGCCAACTCCGGAACCTGATCGGAACAGCGCACGTGCGTGGTGAAAAGATCTAAGATCGTGCTTGAAGTGAGTGCACATGTAGATTTTTGTACGGCTCGTCTCGGGTTGAATGAATTGGTTTCTAATAGCCCTTAAGATTAGAGATTAATTATCATTGTGATTGCCGATGGCCTACGCATCTTGGAGCGTACACACGGGGTTTTAAGGTGTCAGGGTGGGGGGGGGGGAGGTTCACGTGGACAACAGTTTTATAAAAAGTAAAAAAAAAAAAATGAAGAGAAAGGAAATATCGTTAACATTTTTATGTTATCTTTTTTTTTTTCATTTTTTTAGATTGGATTTTTAAATGTTTTGTTTTTATATGAAGTTCTAATATTTTTAATACATTGAGGCAGTAAAGAGCGAACAAATCAGTACTGGGGATTTAGATATTGATCTACATCAAAAATACAATAGCTTTGTTTCTTAGTGACTATAATTTATAGTATAATAGCTGGTCTGAGCTATCTATAGATAGCAACTTCATCTATAACCTAACCCTAATCGTAAATTCAGGCATTATACTGTGTTAATAGAGAAAATCTAATCATAGTCGTATTTCTGACTGTAAGTCTGACCTTAGTAACAAGCGATGTAAGCAGAATATACAAGCAAAATTTCGGTCTCATTTACCGGTCAAGTTGTCCACTGTTGGTTTTAGGCCAGTAGCCACATTATGTGGGGAGGGGGGGGGGGGGGGCTTGGTTTAGCTCCCGGTCCAACCTGGTTTAAGCTCACATTGTCTTCGTCATTCTTCAAGCCACTCACTTATTATCAAGTGACATTGTCGTCGTCGTTGTTAATGGCAGTCCTAGTCAATGATTATCAACAACATTGTCCTCGCCATTCTCAATGCCATTGTTCTAGTCGCTGATTCTTAATGATATTGCTATAGGCAATGGCCAGTGTATTGGTCGGTGTCTCAGATTGTGACTTGTAATTTTCCAGGTCATTGCCTTTGTATATCTTACGTGTGTCAGTCAGTAGGCCTATTTCTTAAGTGTGATGTCAGTAAGTCTGTTAGTACACCTTACGTTTGTCTGTCAGTACACCTTACATGGGTCTGTCAGTACACCTTACATGGGTCTGTCAGTACACCTTACGTTTGTCTGTCAGTACACCTTACGTTTGTCTGTCAGTACACATTACATGGGTCTGTCAGTACACCTTTCGTGTGTCTGTCAGTACACCTTACATGGGTCTGTCAGTACACCTTACGTTTGTCTGTCAGTACACCTTACGTTTGTCTGTCAGTACACCTTACATGGGTCTGTCAGTACACCTTACATGGGTCTGTCAGTACACCTTACATGGATCTGTCAGTACACCTTACATGGGTCTGTCAGTACACCTTACATGGGTCTGTCAGTACACCTTACATGGGTCTGTCAGTACACCTTACATGGGTCTGTCAGTACACCTTACGTTTGTCTGTCAGTACACCTTACGTTTGTCTGTCAGTACACATTACATGGGTCTGTCAGTACACCTTTCGTGTGTCTGTCAGTACACCTTACATGGGTCTGTCAGTACACCTTACGTTTGTCTGTCAGTACACCTTACGTTTGTCTGTCAGTACACCTTACATGGGTCTGTCAGTACACCTTACATGGGTCTGTCAGTACACCTTACATGGATCTGTCAGTACACCTTACGTTTGTCTGTCAGTACACCTTACATGGGTCTGTCAGTACACCTTACATGGGTCTGTCAGTACACCTTACATGGGTCTGTCAGTACACCTTACATGGGTCTGTCAGTACACCTTACATGGGTCTGTCAGTACACCTTACATGGG